CAGGAAGACACCAACTGCTTTTACATAATTATTGAAGAATCCAAATCAAGGGAAAAAAATCTCTTGCTTTGTTATAATGTTAGCTCGTGTGTTTTATTTTTTAGGTCAAGACGTTGTTTTCAAGTGCCTTGGAGAAAATATTCTTCAGAATGCCTTCGAAGGCTACAATGCGTGCATCTTTGCCTATGGGCAGACTGGTAAGGCCCTTCAGGACATAGGCAAAAATTAGGCAAAAAGTTGATGTAAAAGGTACATTCTGACACTTTTCAAGGCTGTTGTGACATTGTTTCAGGAAAAAAATGCCTTGTAATGTCCATAAGAAATGTTTTTCTCTTTTGTAACATTAGATACAAGGTGGCCAGGATGGGAAATAGGATTTTGCCCGTTGCTGCTGGCTACCCGCATTTCTCACTCCTTAGATTATGATCTGTGGAGTGATCGTGGTCATCCTTGAGTTCAGTGCCTCACTCGTATTTTCTACCTCTGTATTTGGAATAATCTTGATTATAATTTTAACTATAATATGCAAAAATGGATATGTTCTTGATCTGATTTTTCTCATTGTGGCACATATGTGGACGTTAGTGGGTTGTCACCTACAGGAAGACTTTTCCAACCTGAAAAATCCGTCTCTGTCAGTTTGAACCAAACTTCTTGTTTTGCTTTTCCTTTTCATTAAATAGCTTTTAGCTTTGTTTTGGTTGCTTTAAAATAGAAAACTGCACAAATACCTTTCACTGAAATGCAATTTTTTTTTTAACCTCTCCTCTCTATTTTCTTTTCGTACAGCAAGAATCTTTCTGACGTGTACACTAACCATGGATTCAATCCCACAGGCTCTGGAAAATCATACACGATGATGGGTACCGCTGACCAGCCTGGATTAATCCCTAGGCTTTGCAGTGGACTCTTTGAAAGAGCGCAGAAAGAGGAAAATGAAGAGCAGAGTTTCAAAGTGGAAGTATCCTACATGGAGATATACAACGAGAAAGTCAGAGATCTTCTTGACCCAAAAGGGTGAGTAATTTGTATGTCAACAGCACTTAAAACGTTGTCATCCACTCTTCCTTTCCATAACCACCTTGCCTTGATGGATCCCACCTAAGGCATTGGCGTAGGACGGCTTTTGTGTCTTCCTGATCTCAGTGTCCTCTCATTTTAATTCAAAATACAGTAGTAAAACTAAAAGCTTGCAGTAAACTCGCCCTATAATGGTAGCTTTTATGAAGTGACAAAAATGTCTGTGCTAGCATTTTATGTGTAGATGCAAGGCTTTTTTGTTTGTATTACAGTCCTTGCGCTGTGCTTTATTATGGTATTTGTAAGACCGTCGTGTTTGAGATCTGTCGGCGAGAAAATGACCTTCTATAAATGTTGTCTGAAGTCAGTCATGTGCTTATAAATAACTTTTTGTTTCCAACCAGAAGCCGTCAGTCATTAAAGGTTAGAGAACACAGTGTTTATGGTCCTTACGTAGATGGGCTATCCAAACTAGCTGTTGCTAGCTACAAGGTAAGGATCCATTTTCTGAAAGGCTTGTCTTGACATCCTAAACCCTAGGGTACCATCCCTTTAGCAGGACACAGTTATTAAGCTACTTCTAATAGCTGTGGCAGTAACACGGATTTTAGAGCAAGGTTGCTGTAGGATTGCTGTGTTGTGATCAGCAGGGAGAAGAAAATTAAGGCCAGAAACTCATCGTCATCCTGTACTACTTGATAATTCTGGAAATAATTAAACTATTTAACGAAGCAGCTTTCCTCCCAAAATCCAGCCAAGTGAATGCAGTATCCAGGAGAAAGCCTTCTGTGATTAATTACAGCACAATAATTTAGCGGAAAGGGCTTTCAGTACCACACCTTCTCCCTTTTTGGCTGTCATGCTATTGCTTAGTAATTTCACTTACCAGCAGCACCCGTGCACGCTGGAATTACAAGCCAGTGGTTGTTTACACGGCAAATACTTGAGAACATTGCGTGAAACGTGCCTGCTGGATTGTGAATGTTCATGTATGCATTCACAAAATACCCTGATTTCTAAGAAGCATTAATGTACTGTGGGAGAAATGAGTAAATATGAGATGGATTTCTGCCATCCTAAGGTATTCATCTTACCATCCAGGTGTTCATCCACCTCTGCTTGGTGGTTTCTGTTAAAACAGGACCCATCGCTTGCTTTTCCTTTATATGTTGCCCAGCAGCTTTGTGTAATCCGGTATACGAAGTCGAAGTGGTCTGTGGTGGTGTTCTGTTTCATCGCTTATTGGGGTTTTTTAGCATCACCCACCTAGAGATGCTTAAATAGAAGTTGAGCCCAAAACTCTACAGTTTTAACTGTTTTATGGAGTTGCTGTAAAACACTGAAGCGGGGGAGCTGCGTATGTCTCAAGTATCACAAATTAACGTATCAGAGGGCTTTATAAGCTCTTAAATGTAAGAGGAACATCACAACCTGTTCAGTGTGGTTCTGTTTTATGAAAACTTGAGCCTTATGTCAGTGTTTGCAGCCGAGGCTAAAACATCACCGTGTTCAAACATGAATTGTTGTTTCCTCGCTTTTTCCTTTGCTTTTGAGTATTGCTTTGTGCAGCCAGGTGTGTTAATTTTGTTGATAACTTAATATGTAGGTAGAGGTAATGGATGAATGCACATGTCACAACATTGTGTGATTTCTGTCCTTTAAAGAGGAGATCACAATGTTTTTATCTCGCGTTTTATGAATAAACCCTGGGAAACTTAGTGGGAAAATCCTTGCTGTGTTTTACCAAGATGAGATTGTTTCGGTAGATAATTAAATGTTAATGCAGATATGCTTATGGCTGTGAAAATTGTGTCTAGGACATCGAGTCCTTGATGTCGGAGGGCAACAAATCTCGAACGGTGGCTGCAACCAACATGAACGAAGAGAGCAGTCGGTCCCATGCAGTCTTCAAGATCATCCTCACCCACACACTCTATGATGTGCAATCAGGGGTAAGTAGAACAAGTTACAGAATCCAAATGTTAAGCCTGGATGTATGGGTTTTTGCTTTCATTTATTTCACAGGCTCTTAAAAGTGTTGGTTGGAAGGGATCTTGGGTTGTTTGCTACAGGATCAAGTTGGTGGTGGCTTCATCTGGCTACGTCCTCGTCGTGCTCATGTGCTTGTGCCCCAATGTGGGGAAATCAGGTTTAATAGGTTTGTAAGTGAAATGTGGGAGTTTTGGAAATGAAATGTAAAAATGCTGGCCCCAGGTTGCAGCAGACCTGCTGGAGGGTGCAGGAAGGATCTCCTAATCCTAGCATCTGAACTAAAGAGACACTTCTTTTTAAGCAAGTGTGTGGTACAGACTCGGAGCAGGAACTAAAGATATAATGTATAGATGAGAAATAGAAGAACACCTGAGTATACATCTGGTAATCCTCAAGGAGTTATTTCATGCAAATATGTATAAATGACCAACTTCATAAACAGAAACACCAATTTCAAAAATTTTGCATTATACAACATTAATATTTTTATGCATATATGTTAAATATCTAAAAGACATTTAAACGCAGAAGTATTTTTTCTCTACATTTCCTTATATGTAAATATTCCTTGGAGAGCTGTGTGAAAATACATCTCTATTATATTATTTAATACCTCACAGAAAGTGGTGATAAACTAATATTTAAATAACTCTACCACCCCAAAACTCTTTAAACTTCATTGATAGTTTCTGTGCTTAGGCAATTCTTTAGTGTCTTCAAAGCCTTGCAGAAATTTGGAGTGTCCACAGAGCAAATGTAAGGTGTGGATGTGCCTTAACACTGAATGCAATGCACTGTGCCCTTGTGGCCAAGAAGGCCAATGGCATCCTGGGGTGTATCAGGAGGGGGGTGGTTGTAGGGCAGAGAGGTTCTCCTCCCCCTCTACTCTGCCCTGGTGAGACCACATCTGGAATATTGTGTCCAGTTCTGGGCCCCTCAGGTCAAGAAGGACAGGAACTGCTGGAGAGAGTCCAGGATAGGGCTACAAAGATGATCAAGGGAGTGGAGCATCTCCCTTCTGAGGAGCGGCTGAGGGAGCTGGGGCTCTTTAGTTTGCAGAAGAGGAGACTGAGGGGAGACCTCATTCATGTTTATAAATCTGTAAAGGGTGAGTGTCACGAGGATGGAGCCAGGCTCTTCTCGGTGACAAACAATGATAAGACAAGGGGTAACGGACACAAACTGGAACACAGGAGGTTCCACTGAAATTGGAGAAGAAACTTCTTCTCAGTGAGGGTGACAGAGCACTGGCCCAGGCTGCCCAGAGAGGTTGTGGAGTCTCCTTCTCTGCAGACATTCAAAACCCGCCTGGACGCCTTCCTGTGTAACCTCATCTGGGTGTTCCTGCTCCGGCAGGGGGATTGGACTGGGTGAGCTTTTGAGGTCCCTTCCAATCCCTAACGGTCTGGGATTCTGTGATTCTGTGTAAAGCATCAGAGTGAGATTTTTTCTGTTTCCCCATCTGCTGATCCTTTCAGTCCTGGAAATGCCACATTTCAGCATGGACTGATGATCACACTGTATTTTGAGAGGCTCAGAGTCACATTTTTTGGAAAGCATTTTGATTCTAATTAGCCTCTTTATTTAGGTGAATGTAGCACTTTGCAACTGTGATACCGAGATGCTGAAGTCATAGATGCTGCAGAAAAGCCTGGTGTAAGCAAATTGTTCTCCAAGACAGTGTTAGCTCTTCAAATTGACACATGAAATTCATGGAGCGTTTCAGAGTTGTCATTTTGGGTCAAATGCAATAAAGGGATTTATAAGAAAATCTGTGTAACAGGATTGAAATACTCGCAGAGCTTGGATTGCTTTCTAGGAAGCTGCTGGGATTTAGCAGACAGTTGTAATTTTCATAAATCATAACATGATTCTTGTCATGTTAATTTTCACTTTCTGAAAAAATAGAAACCTGGTATAAAGTGTGAGGTTTTTAGGAGCCTGTTTTCAAGATGATAAATCAAAGGCAGAGTTTATAGAGCTTGGTTTTTGTGACTCCTTACCCTGTTCTCCCTCTGCGCACGTTCTTGCTTTGACGTTTGACTAATGCACCTTGTTTCTCTCCTGTGGAGATTCTGAGATGTCCTGAAGATATAAACGTATCTTATTTCACTTCGAACCCTCCTGTTGTTTCTGGAGCAGCAATTAGTGAGTTACCACAGAGTATCATTGGAATCCAGTGACTTTCAAAGCTGTTGGAACAGCTGTAGAGAGTCTACACCAAGAAATAAAGCTTAATTCTTATTAGAAAATAAATCGAACTGTGCAAAAACTGAATTTGAATGAAGTAACAGTGGCTGTGCTCTGGTTCCTTCTGCAGACATCGGGCGAGAAGGTGGGCAAGCTGAGCCTGGTGGACTTGGCCGGTAGCGAAAGGGCAACCAAGACTGGTGCTGCGGGAGACAGGCTGAAGGAAGGCAGCAACATTAACAAGTAAGGCTGGGTGATTATTTCTTTTCCCTTTTTTCACTGATAAAATCATGACTGCGAAATACAGTGCACTTGTAAAATAGGATAAAATCAGTCTAAGCTCCTGTAGGCAGTTTTCGTCTTCCTTTTTTTCTACTTTTCCTTCAGACATGCAATACTCTTAGATGTTTGAATTAAGTCTCTGCTTATTTAAAACTGTTGGCATTTATCATTCTGTGCTCGTGTTCCTGCACCTATCACACAATTGCATTGTGAAGATAAGATTATTAAGGCTGAAAACTTATACTGAAAGCAAGGACTTAGGAGAAAAGGATGATCAAAACTGTACTAAGACTTTTCAGCTCAGGGCTCATTTTTGGAGAAAAAGCGACTGTCTAAGTACGTCTTTGACTTATGAATATTTACATTTGTTAATGACTGCTTGTGTTCTCTGTGCAGATCCCTCACAACTCTGGGGCTGGTTATTTCTGCTCTGGCAGATCAGGCCGCTGGCAGGAACAAGAACAAATTTGTTCCTTATCGTGACTCTGTGCTCACTTGGTTACTTAAAGTAAGTACTCTGACCTTGGCTTTTTAAAGAGAAATCAAAGGGAGGAAAAAAGGGAGAAGAGTCCCATCCAACGAAATAAAACACTGGGTTTTACCTCATTTTCTGGTTTTGATGTTAACTGTAATTGGCTTTGGAAAATTAGCTGGATGTAAGCCATTAGTGTCTCTACAGCCTAAATATGTTCCCTGCTTTCTGCTGACCTATAATGTCCTAAAGAATAAGAAACTTTAAGAAGTCAGTTTACGTACAGCCTCACACACAGTCCTGGGGCTGATTTAATTTGGGCTATTGCCACATGCCACTGAATTTTACATACTGGCATGGTTAGCTTTGAAGATGTTGATTATTCCCTTTTCCCAATGGTCTGAGAGATTCATTAATATACTTTACTTTTGTCAGCAGAGGATAATTGCAGAGCATTATCCCAGCTGCAGTCTGAGGAACAGGGCAGAAGACTTTGAACATCATCTTCATGTGAAATGAGCAGTTAAATCATTTAGGCCCCTATTTGGTATTTTTTTGGGGAAAAAAGAGTGTATCATGATGGCACTTCATGAAGATCTCTTTTTTTGTCCTCTTTTGTAGGTGCTCTGGCCAGGTTTTGTTGTCTTGAATACTCTGCTTTACTTCCCCACCCATTCTTAGCGATGTTTTTAAGTATTGTTTGAATTTGACATCCCTACGATTTAGCTACACATGTGAAAAGAGATAGAAAAAGTTTCTTGCAGGTTATACAGAGGTGTGGAGATTAAAAAAGATGTTTTCCTGAAGGAGATTTGAAAACAAAGTTGACTTCAAGCCTTAAGTAAAATAAAATCTCTATTTATGTAACCCCTTGACACCACGAGCCTTTCATTTTTCTCACTGCTATCTTTTAATGAACCTTTTAGCATTACTACTGTGAAACCATTTATCTCTTCTCCCTTGTGCAAACATCACAGAAACTGGATGTCAGGTATTAAAAGTCATGAGGGCTACATAAAAATCGGCGTGGCGTAACATAGATAGTGCCGATGCATTTCTGCAATTAAATAAACCTTCATTTCACAGTGTTCCTTGCCCTAAGGCTTTACTTGGTGTTTAAATGTATTTTTGCCTCTATATATTTGCACTGAGTTTCCCCTCTAATTAAACAAGTGCTCCGCCGGTGCGTGTGCTCGGGTTCCTGATGCGGCCAAAATAATCCGAGCGAGCGGAGTGGAAACTTCCCCGACGAATTTCTAGCGTTGTTGTTAGGATTAGTTATGCTGTGCCATTTCTAAACGGCTCCGGCGAGCAGACCCGAATTCCTGGTTAGCACCTGGCTGCTGCATTGTAGCTGCTCCGAAATAGCAGCGCACTTTTGTTCCCCCTTCTTTCAAGCGAACTTTCTTTGTGTCTTTAACATCCAGCGACGTTAAGTGCAAACAAAAAGTTTGGGGCTTTTGGGGTTTTTTTTTGACAAACAAGCTCGTTGAGGAGAAGCTTTGTTTTGAAAAGGGGAAAATGGAAACTCTTTTTCTTTTTTTTAATTAAAGATCAAAGGAGGGATTTATTCATTGGTTTTAGAAGCCGTGAGATGGTGGGCTATGTTTTTAGCTTTCATTAACTATGATGCCGAGGTGGACTAAATGTGTTTTGTCAGTAGGAATATCCATCATATAGAGTCTCTGCACAAATCTGAGAAACCAGGAGAGCTCAGCAGACCTCAAGCTCTAGCACTTTGTGTTTCATTTTGTTCAAGATCTTTAGAAGAAAGTAGCCAGTGAAAAATATTATTGCAAGAGGAGGCTTGAAGAGTGGTGTCAGGTTATGTGTAGGGGGCAAAATGCCTTATCAATGCTTATCAATTTGATTTTATCAGATTGTATTGGCACAAACGCCTTGTTTTCCCGTTTTATCCAGAAGCCCTGCGTGTTTTACTGATGGGTTCTATTAAAAATACAATTTCTGATCTTTAGTTTAAGTGGTTTTCACTGCAATCTTGGTGCTAGAGAAGACTGGGCTCGTTTAGTCTTAGAAATAGCTAAACTTACTTATTTTCACTCTGTGCTGTCTCCATCACATGCAAGCCCAGCCTTTCCAGGGTAATGTGTCTTTGCTAATGAGAGCCTGGCTTACTATTCAACTGCTTTTTTTGCTTAGCATTAAAGAAACCAGGGAAATCAGCACAAGGGTTTTCTACATAAAACTTTATCGGACAGCCTGGCGTTGGCCTTGAATGGTTACAATACAGGAGGAACTTTACCCGGCTTATAATGGGTGTTTTGTGAGTTATGGTGTATCACTGTAACTGCGTTCTCAGCTGCCTGTACAACAGAGTTGCAATTGAAATAATGAATTAATCCTATTTTGGAGCTAATTAGTGCAGTGAAGGAGGTTCCCAAAGTGCAGACTGTTAAGGTTTGATTTGGGAGCAGGGTACCAAGAAGCCCAATGGCATCCTGGGGTGTATCAGGAGGGGGGTGGTTGTAGGGCAGAGAGGTTCTCCTCCCCCTCTACTCCGCCCTGGTGAGACCACATCTGGAATATTGCGTCCAGTTCTGGGCCCCTCAGTTCAAGAAGGACAGGAACTGCTGGAGAGAGTCCAGCATAGGGCTACAAAGATGATCAAGGGAGTGGAGCATCTCCCTTCTGAGGAGCGGCTGAGGGAGCTGGGGCTCTTTAGTTTGCAGAAGAGGAGACTGAGGGGAGACCTCATTCATGTTTATAAATCTGTAAAGGGTGAGTGTCACGAGGATGGAGCCAGGCTCTTCTCGGTGACAAACAATGATAGGACAAGGGGTAACGGACACAAACTGGAACACAGGAGGTTCCACTGAAATTGGAGAAGAAACTTCTTCTCAGTGAGGGTGCCAGAGCACTGGACCAGGCTGCCCAGAGAGGTTGTGGAGTCTCCTTCTCTGCAGACATTCAAAACCCGCCTGGACGCCTTCCTGTGTAACCTCATCTGGGTGTTCCTGCTCCGGCAGGGGGATTGGACTGGATGAGCTTTTGAGGTCCCTTCCAATCCCTAACGGTCTGTGATTCTGTGATTCTGTGATCCCTGGCCAGCTCCCTGCTAAACTTCAGCTTTTTATGCAGAACAGGGACTGCAGTTGCAGAGCGTTGTTCTGAATTTTTGGAAACCATTGATGGGTTGAAGAAAAATCCTGTAGAGCCAGAAATCCCATCGAATGAGTTGTGTGCTCTTGAGAGTCTTTTTATAGTTTTCAGTAGATGCTTTGGAAAAACATTGGTTTGTTACAGAGTGGGTTCTCCCAAGCCATGTATTTATTGTATTTATGTATTTATTACATTGGCTGCTCCTCAGATAAGAAAATAACCATGGTGTTATCAGTCAGAATTGACCTCTTTATAAATGCAGGATTGAGTGCACCCTCACAAGTTCGCTGATGACACCAAGCTGGGTGGT